TCGCAAATTTTGCATTCGAACTTGATGATACCCGTGTGAATGCGTTCGTGCGTCGTCACCTTAATTCATGTCGTACAAGTGAATGAACAGCAAAAAAACTTGCTTTAAAAAAATTCACTTGCTGAACTTCTACAGCCAAATTCATCAGTCACAAAATTACATCAAAATTCCTAAGACGTTGGAATATTCCATTATTCCCTATTTGCATTCAGGACCTGCTGCACAGCACGATCCCTTCAAATGAAACACCGGATTTCGCACATTCACATTAAAAAATACAGTTGGCATCGAAGCACCAGCTTCTTCACGTAAATTTTTGTAGCCGTCCTTTCTTCGTCATTTCTTCAAACCATTTCCGTCCCGCTGTATCATTTTCAGGCCAAACCCTTCCAACTATAGCAGAATTTAAAGAAGTTACTGGCACTTAAAGATTACTATGCAAAATTGTAAACTCATTTATGACTGCCATGAAAAGCAGTCCAAAAATGTAGGAAAGAAAAAGTGCTTACGGAGCATTCGCTGGTGAATAATTCATCACAAAAATGACAACCAAATGTTTTCGTAAAGACATGTGCCATTTTTTTATGCTTTCGGAGTTTCCGCGGTGTCAGAAATTTCTGTGCACACATGTTACATTTGAAGCCAGAGTTAACGCCACGATGAAATTTGGCACGATGATTGAGTAGCCTTTGATGAGTGCACAGATTCCTCAGCGGAGTACATTCGAAGCAGATGAATGTCTGAAAAATATCAATATCGAAATAAAAAATTTCTTATCACTAAATTAATTTTAATAATTTGCAAATTTTGTAACTCTTATCTCCCAGCTTTTTTACTTTTTGTCTTCTTTCATCCGTTTTTAACACATCCTATTTTTCTATTCTATTTAAGATTCTAACAATCCAGCCCTATGTTTTGTCCTCTAGATATGACCGCTTATTTCAAAAGCGATCATGTCTAGTGGGCGAAACATAAGTTACTTAAATGATATATGACTTTTCACAGGTCGGCCTTAGTCGATTTACACCAAAAAAAGCATGCGGCTCCTAAAAGCATGTTGCTCCAAAGCTCCCCTTTTCTTAATGTTAATTGGTTTAAGCGGGTTTTCCAAATTTTGCAGGCGCGTGTCGTGTCCAATGCGAGCCATTCTATTTGGACCAGTACTAACCATCCTGTCATCCGATGCTAAATACTTTAACATAACCAGTAAAAGGCCCGAAATTCCAGTGTGGGAAGACAACGACGTTATGATGGTGAGCAACAATAATATGTCTTCGTGGACTAAGATGCTTGTCTTCATTTTACCTCCGCCACTCTACTACAGACGTGAAGTACCATTTGGCTAGGCGTTTTCTCAATTTTTTACAA